CAGTAGGTTATTCGGAAAGAGATCTAGGGTTCTGAGACAATTCAGCTAAAAACCCAAAAGATTAACTAAATACGACTATATAGGTCTTTATGATTAAATTTCATTCGATTTTGGTTGATACTAACAGTTGTATGCATATAAATACCCCAAAAAATGATTACACATTAAAAATTACTGGAAAGATGTTGACCAGAGTCAATGAAAAATAATGAATATTGGCACATAAGTAAAATGAATAGCAGTTATGCTCCTATTTGTTCGTTACATCAAGTTTTATGAATGTAGGTCACTAAAGTGTCTGGAAACTCAACATAGACAAAAAATGAAGCTCAGTCCATGAAGCATTATAAAAATGAGAAGATGTGGTATAATTGCTAATGAGACAACTTTCAACCAGAAACCAAATTACGTTAAAGTTGGAAACTATAGATCACCATACCGCCTTCAACAATGAGCAAAACCAAAGTCTTCTTTTTCTTTCAAATTCCGTAGTAAACTCCTTGCAGGAAGTGTAAAACATCCTGGATGTAGGTCATATACTTACTTTTAGTGAGACTGTTATTCTCCCTATAGTCATATGTACACCAGATGTTTAGTTGTCAGTCACTTAGTAACCAAATCAAAGTACTTGTGAGCACTGCAGGGTACAAATTGCTTTCATTTTGCATTGTATTAAGGAGTGGGTCAATTTAGGCAATATTTGGATTGGAATTATTTTCCTTTGTCCATAATTGTAGGTAAATGTAGAACAGATAGTCATTGGCAATGAACTATTTCTGAAACTGTGTAATTTTTAGTAAAAACAGTTTTCTTTGTCAAATTACATACACACATCATTTTATGACTTGTTGAAAAATCATATATTTTCTCTCTATGGGGTCATTGTGTTCTGTCATCAAAATTCATCATTGGAAGTCACCCCATTTTTTTCATTTTTATAAATAAGCTTCAATTATTTTTTAGTTTTGTACTAAACTTTGTCTGCCTCTTCCTGATTTTGTTTTAAAACTTCGTATTTGCTTCAGGTATCATATTGGAAAAATTAATGAATTAAAGTGATTGTTATCCACAAGGCCAGATAATTAACCCAGGTATATCAAATGGTTGTCACCGTGAATAATCTTTATACTATTAACTGTATCAATTCACCCTCAAACCACCTGGGTGGTCTTGTGGTAGAATGCTCGCTTTCAGGGCTGGAGGTCGAGGGTTCAATCTGTGGCCGGGTCAAACCAAAGACCTGAAAATTTATATTTGCTGCATAACTGCTAGGCCACGGCATTAAGATAATAAAATGCTCCGCAGGGCGCAGCTTGATACGAATGCAGAGGTCGAACCCTGAACAGTTGGGGCAAGTATGGACACAACATTCAAGCTTGATACAGCTCTGAAATTGGATTGTGATTAAATATTTGACACAGCATAGGTTTCTGACACAGAATGAATGTGGTCTAAGAACTTAAAAATTTTAAATTGGACATTCACCTATTATGGTCCAATATCCAAAATCTAAATACATGGTTAGATTCAGCATATCAAAGAACCCCAAAAATTCAATTTTTGATGAAATCAAACAAAGTTTAATTTTGGACCCTTTTGACCTCAATGTGGACAAAGTTGATAACGGGGCCCAAAAATCAAAAATCTAAATACATGGTTAGATTCAGCATATCAAAGAACCCCATATATTCAATTTTTGTTGAAATCAAACAAAGTTTAATTTTGGACCCCGATTTGGACCAACTTGAAAACTGGGCCCATAATAAAAAATCTAAATACATGTTTAGATTCAGCATATCAAAGAATTCAATTTTTGTTAAAATCAAACTTAGTTTAATTTTGGACCCTTTGGACCTTAATGTAGACCAATATGAAAACGGAACCAAAAATTAAGAATCTAAATACACGGTTAGATTCGGCATATCAAAGAACCCCAATAATTCAATTTTTGATTACATCAAACAAAGTTTAATTTTGGACCCTTTGGACCTCAATGTGGACCAATTTAAAAACGGGGCCCAAAATCCAAAAACTTAATACACGGTTAGATTCAGCATATTAAAGAACCCCAAAAATTCAAGAATAAAACCCCATTGAAAATGGTCAAGAAATAAGCAATTTATACGAAGTATCTTCTTTTGCACAATACAGTGTGCAATTGAATATTTCTTGCTATTGCGCAATACTGCACAATTGACAATTTCTTGCTATTGCGCAATATTGTGCTATTGGATATTTCTTGCTATTGCGCAATACTGTGCAATTGAAGATTTCTTGCTATTGCGCAATACTGTGCAATTGAAGATTTCTTGCTATTGTGCAATACTGTGCAATTGAAAATTTCTTGCTATTGCACAATACTTATTATATAATAATTTACACATCCTGTTTGGTGTGTATCTCCTACCATATCATAAGTTTTTGCTTTTAAATAAATCAGAAATAACCAACTTAAAATGGAAAATTTTAAAAGAAAAAAAAAGGAAAAAAAAAAAATCCCCCTCCACCCAAATTTTTTGAACCCCCTTATGATTCATCACCCCCAAACTCAATCCCAGCCTTCCCTTTGTGGTATGGTACCTTGCAGTACAATTTCAGAGAGATCCATACACTTGAACACAAGTTATTGTCTGGAAACTAGAAAAATGCTTATTTTTGGCCCCATTTTGGCCCCTTATTCCTAAACGTTTCGGGCAATTACCCCCAAACTCAATTCCAGCTTTCCCTTTGTGATATGGAACCTTGTAGTACAATTTCAGAAAGATCCATACACTAACACACAAGTTATTGTCATGAAACTAGAAAAATGCTTGTTTTTTGCCCCTTTTTTGGCCCCTAATTCCTAATATTTTGAGGCAATTACCCCCAAAATCAATCCCAGCATTCCCTTTGTGATATGGAACCTTGTGGTACAATGTCAGAGAGATCCATACAAGTTATGTCTCGAAGTTACAAAAATGCTTATTTTTGGCCCCTAATTCCTTAACTGTTGGTACCATAACCCCCAAAATCAATCCCAACCTTCCTTTTGTCTTATTGAACCTTATTGTAAAATTTCATAGAGATCCATTCACTTAAACTAAAGTAAGAGTGCGAAAACCAATGTGTCTTCGGACGACGACGACGACGACGCCAACGTCATACCAATATACGACCGCAAAAATTTTTGCGGTCGTATAAAAACAAAGACTGGACGGCCTGGAGTCAGAATAATGTGTCTGCAAATTTTGTCTTGCTTTTTTTTTTGTTGTAATCTCTGTCCTGCCTTTTTATTTTTCACTCTATTCCATCCTGCCTTTTTATTTATTAGTTTATCCTGACTCTTTTTACATAAATTGTCATCCTGCCTTTTTTTTTTCCAAAGTTGCTCATCCTGCTTTTTTAGCTCACCTGGCCCGAAGGGCCAAGTGAGCTTTTCTCATCACTTGGCGTCTTGGGTCGTCCTTAGCTTTTTACAAAAATCTTCTCCTCTGAAACCACTGGGCCAAATTTAACCCAACTTGGCCACAATCATCATTAGGGTATCTAGTTTAAAAATGTGTCCGATGACCCCGCCAACCAACCAAGATGGCCGCCATGGCTAAAAATAGAACATAGGGGTAAAATGTATATTATGGCTTATATCTCTGAAACCAAAGCATTTAGAGTAAATCTGACAAAGGGTAAAACTGATTATCAGTTCAAGATCTATCTGCCCTGAAATTTTCAGACAAATCTGACAACATGTTGTTGGGTTGCTGCCCCTGAATTGGTAATTTTAAGGAAATCTTGCAGTTTTTGGTTATTATCTTGAATATTATTATAGATAGAGATAAACTGTACACAGCAATAATGTTCAGCAAAGTAAGATCTACAAATAAGTCAACATGACCAAAATTGTCAGTTGACCCCTTTAGGAGTTATTGCCCTTAATAGTCAATTTTTAACAATTTTTCGTACATTTTTGTAATCTTTTACAAAAATCTTCTTCTCTGAAACTACTGAGACAAATTTAACCATACTTGGCCATAATCATTATAAGGGTATCTAGTTTAAAAAAATTGTCCGATGACCCCGCCTTCCAACCATCATGGCCAACTTGGTTAGAAATAGAACATAGGGGTAAAATGCAGTTTTTGGTTTATATCTCTGAAATTAAAGCATTTAGAGCAAATCTGACAGGTGGCAAAAATGTTCATCAGATTTAGATTTATCTGCCCTGAAATTTTCAGACAAATCCGACAGCCCGTTGTTGGGTTGCTGCCCCAGTGTTAGTAATTTTACAAAAATTTTGCAGTTTTTTGTTATTATCTTAGATATCATTATAATATCTAATATCTAATCCTATATACTATGATTTTAACCTTATTTTACATGATTTCCAAAGCATCAGTAAATACAGGGTGAGCGACACATTACTCAAAACTCCTATTCTGCCTTTTTTTCAATTTTCATCCTAGCCCCCCCCCCCCCCCCCCCCCCTCCATAAACATCAAATGGTAGCTCCCTTAGTTTGTGCACACAATTGTGTTTTTGTATCAATAGTAGCTACGCCACTGTATAGTACTATTTATCCGTAATTACTGACCTTAGACCAAGTTTGGTTCTATTGCATAAGTGTTGTTTTTTGTATTTCAGCCATTTTGCAATTTTCTGCTGAAAATTCATCTTATTTATCATATTTGTGTAATGAGTGATTAAAAATTTCATATGAGACGAGTTTTACTCTGTATGAACCATTTGATTTAGTCACAGCCTTTAGATATAGACAATTGCATTAATCTTTCTGCTCAGTTTTGAGCTTTCTTACTAATGAGGGTGACACAGGCCAGGGGTGCTCATTTCTAAATCCCACATTTTTTGTAATTTTTTCCCACTTTCCACTTTTTTTAACCCCATTATAGCTATATCCCACATCCCTACTTTTTTAACCCCTATATCCCACATCCCAAAAGCGTGACCTCCCCCTCGCTGATACTGTCAGAGCCAATACTTGGTATATAAATTATTATTAATATAACTTCTATCAAGACAGATATTTCTTTTATTTGTATAAACAGATATATGCATCAACTAGTAAAACAATTTTCTGATTCTTCAACTTCCATACTTGATTGCAATACCAATATAAAGCATCAGTACTACTGGTGATAAGTCTGTTATTTGATCTTCTGGTTGGTCCCTGCAGTATCTGACCAACAACGTTGAAACAGACCCATGTACTGATTTAAATCAGACAATGTTATCTATAAAACTGATGGTCTTGCTCATTTCCTGTTTCTGATCGTCACATTTCTCCACATTGAGTTATTACAACTGCTATTTTAGGTTTATTATTTGGTCCTGTCGGAACATTTTCTATTTTCCTCAGAATTAACAGTCCATCTACCACTTTTCCTGAAAAAGTCAAGAAAGAATAATCAATTTAGTGTCAGGACTATCCCATGAAAAATGTTTAATAAATTTTCATCTTTTATGATCAAAATTCAAATTACATCCCAGGTATAATTCTATTCTCTCGCCAATTGAACAATAAAATTAAATATAAAATATGTTAATTATTTTTTTTTTATTATCTATCTTGGGAAATTTCATTAAAATTTTATTGTTTACGGGGTTAAATCAGATAATACTGGACACTTAAACAAATTTTCACACATATCGCATTGTGCAGGGGTTCTCAGATATAACAAAACTTATGAGTCTGGAGGCATTTTTTATAAAATATTTTAGATGATGGCTTATTCTTATTTGAGGTTTCGGATAATTAAAGAAAATTCAATCATAATTCAATGTCAAACATATGCAATACAGTCTCCAGAAAAACAGAGCTTATTTCTTATACCCGTCTACAGACAGACTCCCCCTACCTGTCTCAGCACAGACTCTTCATACCTGTTTAAGCAGACTTTCCCTACCTGTTGTAGCACAGACTTCCCATATTTTCTAAGCACAGACTCTTCATACCTGTCTTGGCATAAACTCTCCCTACCTGTCTTATGCACAGAATCTTCCTACAGGTCTTAGCACAAACTCCTCCTACCTGTCTAAGCACAGTCTCCTCCTATCTGTCTAAGTACTGACTCCTCTTATTCGTCTAGGCACAGACTCCTCCTACCTGCCTTAGCATAAATCCTCCTACCTGTTTAAGCACAATCTCCTTCTACCTGTCTTAGCAATGATTCCTCATACTTGTTTATAAGTGACATTTCATGAGAAAAAACTTACTACTAAATAGATTTCAAAAAAAATTCTGGTAGAAGTCTGAAGATACTTAGTCAAAATATAAAGTCAGAACTGTATAAAGAATTAAATGGAGAATGTGTCCATGGGACACACATGATGCCCGCTTGCATATAACTTTATAAAGGGGCATGACTCAGGAACGGTAAAAGTGACCTCGCCCAAATTCTAACTTGATCTGTGTTTTGTGGTAATAAGCATTATGTATAAGTTTCATAACATTTGGTTGAGGCAAACTAAAGTTAGAGAACGGAAACCAACTTTGGGACGTACGGACAGATTATAAACTAGTAAAAAATAGCCAGTAAGGAACTTATTACTTACAAACTACCCAAGAATGACCATGTCATAAACACGTATGTACAGACGAGGGTAAAACCTAATGCCCCTCCGCTGAGGCTGGGGCATAATAACTAGAGGCTCTAAAGAGCCTGTGTCGCTCACCTTGGTCTATGTGCATATTAAACAAAGGACACAGATGGATTCATGACAAAATTGTGTTTCGGTGATGGAGATGTGTTTGTAGATCTTACTTAATAAACATTCTTGCTGCTTACAATTATCTCTATCTATAATGAACTTGGCCCAGTAGTTACAGTGGAAAATATTTTGTAAAAATTTACAAAAATTTACAAAATTTATGAAAATTGTAAAAAATTGACTATAAAGGGCAATAACTCCTTAAGGGGTCAATTGACAATTTTGGTCATGTTGACTTATTTGTAGATCTTACTTTGCTGTACATTATTGGTGTTTACAGTTTACCTCTATCTATAATAATATTCAAGATAATAACCAAAAGCTGCAAAATTTTCTTAAAATTACCAATTCAGGGGCAGCAACCCAACAACGTGTTGCCTGATTGGTCTGAAAATTTCAGGGCAGATAGATCTTGACCTGATAAACAATTTTACCCCATGTCAGATTTGCTCTAAATGCTTTGGTTTCAGAGATATGAGCCAAAAACTGCATTTTACCCTATGTACTATGTTTTAGCCATGTTGGCCATCTTGGTTGGCAGGGGCGGGGTCATCGGACACATTTTTTAAACTAGATACCCTAATGATGATTGGGGACAAGTTTGGTTAAATTTGTCTTAGTAGTTTCAGAGAAGATTTTTGTAAAAGATTACAAAAATTTACGAAAAATGGTTAAAAATTGACTATAAAGGGCAATAACTCCTTAAAGGGTCAACTGACCATTTTGGTCAAGTTGACCTTTTTGTAGATCTTACTTTGCTGAACATTATTGCTGTTTACAGTTTATCTCTATCTATAATAATATTCAAGATAATAACCAAAAACTGCAAAATTTCCTTAAAATTACCAATTCAGGGGCAGCAACCCAACAACGGGTTGTCAGATTCATCTGAAAATTTCAGGGCAGATAGATCTTGACCTGATAAACAATTTTACACCATGTCAGATTTGCTCTAAATGCTTTGGTTTCAGAGATATAAGCCAAAATCTACATTTTACCCCTATGTACTATTTTTAGCCATGGCAGCCATCTTGGTTGGTTGGCAGGGTCACCGGACACATTTTTTAAACTAGATACCCCAATGATGATTGTGGCCAAGTTTGGTTTAATTTGGCCCTGTAGTTTCAGAGGAGAAGATTTTTGTAAAAGTTAACGACGACGACGGACGCCAAGTGATGAGAAAAGCTCACTTGGCCCTTTGGGCCAGGTGAGCTAAAAACCTACTGAAATATCTAAATTCCTTACCAAAGACAACATGTTTACCATCTAAAAAGTCACATTTTGTTGATGTGATGAAAAACTGACAACCATTACTGTCTTTTCCACTATTGGCCTGAAATAAATCCATAAACTGAATAAACTTGTTGTAATAATAATAATTCATTAATAAAATTACTTAAAGTTTTAGAAATACCAAAATAGTTCAATGTACAATACCTTGATTTCAAATATTCTTAAAATGGTGTGCTGATTGATTTTTTAGTCTTAGATACAGGATTTTTTTTTATTATTGGCATAGAATAAGCTTCAGTAACTGTGAGTTCACTCAGAATTGTACCTTGTGTCTTAAGTGTTTTTGTGCTTTGTAGTGATGTGATGAGTTAAGCTTTTTTTGCTGGATTTTTATAGTTTGTTCTTGGGTTGTGCTGTTGCACCACTGTCCTGGCTTAGTGGAGTGTTGGGTGCCCACAAACAAGTTTAACCTACCACATTCTGTATGTACCTGTCCCAAGTCAGGAGCCTGTAATTTAGTAGTTGTTCTTTGTTGCTGTATATCATATTTGCTTTTTAGTTTAGCGTTTTGTGCATTACCCAGGCCTTAGTTTTCTGGTTTTGAATTGTTTTCCAATTGTCATTTCTTGGCCTTTTATAACTTGCTATGCTGTGTGGGATTTTCTCATTGTTGAAGGCATATGTTGACCTACTTTTATGTCATTTGGTCTCTGGTGGAGAGTTGTCTCATTGGCAATCAAACCACATCTTATTTTTATTAACAGCATCAAAAAGAGCAATTATTAATGTCATGACATAGGCATATTCTCAAGAAATTTAAACTTGCATGTAAATATTGGTTTCAAAAAGATCATTGTAATGCCATTAGATTATCCAAATGCATTAAAGTTTCATTGACTTGCTTAGGCCATATATTGGTGCCTTTTGCATATTTCCCTTATAGTTCCCAAAATTGTTCAAATATAACCAAATATATAAAATTGTACATAATCATGATAATGGAAACATTCCTTGAGTGGTGGAGCCTTGTAAACTCCTGAAACAAAAATACATGGATACAAACCAAATTGATTTTTTTTTGCAAGCAGTACTAGTGTAACAAAATGCACTACCTTTAATATCTAATAATGAGTGAAATTTGTACTCTATATTATTTCTTAGCATATAAGTGAAATTGTCACTATTTTAGCAAACTGGACCATTTTATTGAATTTATTGTGTACTCATACATGTCATACATGGGTGTACTATACACGACAAGGAAGTATTTTAAAATAAAATATGAATGTTATATTGAAGCACAAATATTCAACATTTAATTCTGCATTTTGAAAAAAATAGATTTATTGATTTTAATAAATTTTGCCCAAAATCTGTCTCTTTACCAATATAATATAAATATTGAATACTTTCAAATTATTATTAAGACCTTTCCTACATTAGTGCCTGGCAAGCCATTGAGTAAAAACTGACCCCTTTTAAAATAAAATGCTCCGCTGGGGCGCAGCTTGGTACGACCGCAGAGGTCCAACCCCGAACAGTTGGGGCAAGTATGGACACAACATTCAAGCTTGATACAGCTCTGAATTTGGATTGTAATTAAATATTTGACACAGCATAGGTTTCTGACACAGAATGAAAGTGGTCTAAGAACTTAAAAAATTTTAATTTACCTATTCAAACCATATCATTATTATTTGCTTTTATATATAAATCAGAAATAACCAATTTAAAATGGTAAATTTAAAAAAAAAAAGGGGAAAAAAAATCCCCCCCCCCCAAATTTTTTGAACCCCCATATGATTCATCACCCCCAAACTCAATCCCAGCCTTCCCTTTGTGGTATGGTACCTTGCAGTACAATTTCAGAGAGATCCATACACTTGAACACAAGTTATTGTCTGGAAACTAGAAAAATGCTTATTTTTGGCCCCTTTTTGGCCTCTTATTCCTAAACTTTTTGGGCAATTACCCAGGGCTTCCAAAATTTTTTTGGGCCAGCCGGACATTTCATATCTTATCCCGATTTAAAATCCCTTTAGACTAAGTAAATTAGGCAACTATGATAATCAGTTGGCCATCATATATGATATAACCAATGATTGACATTAAAACGATGTTAAACTTTACTTTGATATAAATTCGATGTTCTGACGTAAAGTGTTAAATTGAAAGTGCAGCATTTGAAGTGTGCAACATCAGCGTACTAATTCCTCTTTAGACTCTTTATTTGTGCAAAATAACACTGTCAAAAGCTTTACGTTTGTTTTTAAAATCACATTTTCCTAATGCCGGATGTTGACTTGACAATGGTAAATCACGGATCAGAGACGGATACGCAATATCCGTGTAAGTTTACAATTGAGTTAAGTAGCCTTTTCAAGTTATTTCTTCAAGAAAATACTCGAAATGAACGTTAGATAAAGGAATCAATGATAATTTTAGCATTATTGAAGAATTAAATTTCCCACCAGCGGACAATAGACACATGCGCACACGTGTACTAGTTCAAACAACGTGGTTCTGACGATTATTCGTTTAAAACCTTTTCAAATTTTTCATCAAATCATATTTATTAACGTATTTCTTATAATTTCAATCTTTTAGACTAAATTAATTAGATGCAACCCGCTGAAATGTAAGAAAATAACTTTGAATACCCTTTAGCGTACCCCAGTATTTAACACGATGTACAGTGTTTTTAAATATAATAATGAATATCATACATATTCGAATTCATTTATAAATATTCTTATTTGAAGATTTATTTTAAAATCTAAGGAAACTTTTTTAAAACTGAATGGTCATTTACAATAATATCTACAAAGCGTAATTAAATAGGATGTTGTTCCATACACGCTTACATGTTTGACCTCGTTTACCTGATCACCTTTATGTTCATTGTTATGCATCATCAATTCTATTGATTAAGACAAGCTAAGGTCTCTCATCAAAGATAATGACCTGTAATCAGTGAATGATTTATGGCTTCAATATTACTTATTGAAGGGATAATTGTTTGACAGCTTGTTGTTTTTTAAATAAAAGAACAAATTTTTTTTCCTACTTTTTATTGATGTACCAAGCCGTGCATTTGTGTACCCAGAGGATTAGACTAACTGAGACACTTCAAAGTATGAAATATGCTGCATCTGTTTAATTAAACTCAAATATGACCGAAATATCTTTGTGAAATAGATTGCCACAATTATAAACTATAATGCCCAAACTGACATTTTTACCGATCGATAGTTGGTAAAAAAAGTGAAATGACCGTTTTATGAAAATGCCTTGAATAACAAAAAGTGGCAAACCTATGATATTTGACCGTTTGAGGCTGAGAGCAGCCGGACTTTTTATATAAATTTCGGTCAAGTCCTGAATATATGACCGTTTTGGAAGCCATGCAATTACCCCCAAACTCAATTCCAGCTTTCCCTTTGTGATATGGAACCTTGTAGTACAATTTCATAAAGCTCCATACACTTACACACAAGTTACTGTCATGAAACTAGAAAAATGCTTGTTTTTTTGCCCCTTTTTGGCCCCTAATTCCTAAAATTTGGAGGCAATTACCCCCAAAATCAATCCCAGCATTCCCTTTGTGATATGGAACCTTGTGGTACAATGTCAGAGAGATCCATACACTTACACACAAGTTATGTCTAGAAGTTACAAAAATACTTATTTTTGGCCCCTAATTCCTTAACTGTTCGTACCATAACCCCCAAAATCAATCCCCACCTTCCTTTTGTGGTATTGAACCTTATGGTAAAATTTCATTGAGATCCATTGACTTGAACTAAAGTTAGAGTGCAAAAACTAATGTGTCTTCGGACGACGACGACGCCAACGTCATACCAATATACGACCACAAAAAATTTTTTGCGGTCGTATAAAAATTAGCTGAAGTTTGCACCATTCTTACCATCGATAAAATACCAGGTCCAACATGCTTCATTTTAAAGTTTTCATCGGCAAAGGCAGATCCACCATAAATACTACAAATACCTGTTCCATCACCCTGTAACAAAATAAGTCTCTGCTAGTATTGATTCTTAATAAAAAATGTTACTAGTGATTCATTGATGCTATGAGTATCATGCTTGTTCTGTCTTTGTTATCTTTATTGTGTTCTTACTATTTTCTCTTTCAAAGATTTTTGAAGAATTGACAAAGAAGCAAGATTAATTATTGCGATTTCAAGGAAATCTACAAACTGATCATGCTGATATATGTATCAGATATTGGAATGCAAGTTCTTATCATAGAGATACTCTACACACAGTCACATTATTTGAATTAAAGAACCTTAGTGAGCGAGCTCACATACCCCACGTCCCAACATTGTCACTGGAGAAATAAAATAACTGTAAGAAAAAAAAATTGAATCATAATTTCCAGTCGATATGCACATCTACATAGTATGTCCTTATTATCTACAAAGTTTCATGAAATTCTGTTGTGTGGTTTCAGAGGAGTTGCGATGACAAACTGTTGCAAAGGTATATTGAAGCAAATAAGTTCAAAGGGGCGTAATTCCTAGAAAAAAAATTGAATCATAATTTCCTGTCGATATGCACATCTACCTAGTATGTCCTTATTATCTACAAAGTTTCATGAAATTCTGTTGTGTGGTTTCAGAGGAGTTGCGATGACAAACTGTTGCAGAGGTATATTGAAGCAAACTAGTTCAAAGGGGCGTAACTCCTAGAAAAAAAATTGAATCGTAATTTCCTGTCGATATTCACATCTACGTAGTATGTCCTTATTATCTGAAAACGTTTCATGAAATTCTGTTGTGTGGTTTGAGAGGAGTTGCGATGACAAAAGGTTGCAGTAGTATATTAGGCAAATAAGTTCAAAGGGGCGTAACTCCTGGAAAAAAAATTGAATCGTAATTTCCTGTCGATATGCACATCTACGTAGTATGTCCTTATTATCTACAAAGTTTCATGAACTTTTGTTGTGTGGTTTCAGAGGAGTTGAAATGACAAACTGTTGCAGTAGTACATTAAAGTAAATAAGTTCAAAGGGGCGTAACTCCTAGAAAAAAAATTAAATCATAATTTCCTGTCGATATGCACAACAACATAGTATGTCCTTATTATCTAATAAAATGCTTCGCTGGGCGCAGCTTGATACGACCGCAGAGGTTGAACCCTGAACAGTTGGGGCAAGTATGGACACAACATTCAAGCTTGATACAGCTCTGAATTTGGATTGTGATTAAATATTTGACACAGCATAGGTTTCTGACACAGAAAGAATGTGGTCTAAGAACTTCAATTTTTTTAATTTACCTATTATGGTCCAATGTCCAAAATCAAAATACATGGTTAGATTCAGCATATCAAAGAACCCCATATATTCAATTTTTGTTGAAATCAAACAAAGTTTAATTTTGGACCCCAACTTGGACCAACTTGAAAACTGGTCCCATAATCAAAAATCTAAACACATGTTTAGATTCAGCATATCAAAGAACCCCAAAAATTCAATTTTTGTTAAAATCAAACTAAGTTTAATTTTGGACCCTTTGGACCTTAATGTAGACCAATTTAAAAAACGGGACCCAAAATTAAAAATCTAAAAACACGGTTAGATTTGGCATATCAAAGAACCCCAATAATTAAATTTTTGATGAAATCAAACAAAGTTTAATTTTGGACCCTTTTGACCTCAATATGAACCAATTTGATAGCGGGCCCACAAATAAAAAATCTAAATACATGGTAAGATTCAGCATATCAAAGAACCCCATATATTCAATTTTTGTTGAAATCAAACAAAGTTTAATTTTGGACCCCAATTTGGACCAACTTGAAAACTGGGCCAAAAATCTAAAATTTAAATACATGTTTAGATTCAGCATATCAAAGAACCCCATATATTCATTTTTTGTTGAAATCAAACAAAGTTTAATTTTGGACCCCAACTTGGACAAACTTGAAAACTGGGCCCATAATCAAAAATCTAAACACATGTTTAGATTCAGCATATCAAAGAACCCCAAGAATTCAATTTTTGTTAAAATCAAACTAAGTTTAATTTTGGACCCTTTGGACCTTAATGTAGACCAATTTAAAAACGGGACCCAAAATTAAAAATCTAAATACATGGTTAGATTTGGCATATCAAAGAACCCCAATAATTCATTTTTTGATGAAATCAAACAAAGTTTAATTTTGGACCCTTTTGACCTCAATATGAACCAATTTGATAGCAGGTCCACAAATAAAAAATCTAAATACATGGTTAGATTCAGCATATCAAAGAACCCCAAGAATTCAATTTTTGATGAAATCAAACAAAGTTTAATTTTGGACCCTTTTGACCTCAATGTGGACAAAGTTGATAACGGGGCCCAAAAATCAAAAATCAAAATACATGGTTAGATTCAGCATATCAAAGAACCCCATATATTCAATTTTTGTTGAAATCAAACAAAGTTTAATTTTGGACCCCAACTTGGACCAACTTGAAAACTGGGCCCATAATCAAAAATCTAAATACATGTTTAGATTCAGCATATCAAATTACCCTAAAAATTCAATTTTTGTTAAAATCAAACTAAGTTTAATTTTGGACCCTTTTGACCTTAATGTAGACCAATTTGAAAACGGAACCAAAAATTAAGAATCTAAATACACGGTTAGATTTGGCATATCAAATAACCCAAATAAATCAATTTTTGATGAAATCAAACAAAGTTAAATTTTGGACCCTTTGGACCTCAATGTGGACCAATTTAAAAACGGGGCCCAAAATCCAAAATCTTAATACACGGTTAGATTCAGCATATTAAAGAACCCCAAGAATTCAAGAATAAAACCCCATTGAAATTGATCAAGAAATAAGCAATTTATACGAAGTATCTTCTTTTGCACAATACTGTGCAATTGAATATTTCTTGCTATTGTGCAATACTGTACAATTGACAATTTCTTGCTATTGCGCAATATTGTGCTATTGGATATTTCTTGCTATTGCGCAATACTGTGCAATTGAAGATTTCTTGCTATTGCGCAATACTGTGCAATTGAAGATTTCTTGCAATTGTGCAATACTGTGCAATTGAAAATTTCTTGCTATTGCACAATACTTATTATATAATAATTTACACATCCTGTTTGGTGTGTATCTCCTACCATATCATTATTATTTGCTTTTAAATATTAATCAGAAATAACCAACTTAAAATGGAAAATTTTAAAAGAAAAAAAAAAAGGAAAAAAAGAAAAAAAAAAATCCCCCCCCCAAATTTTTTGAACCCCCTTATGATTCATCACCCCCAAACTCAATCCCAGCCTTCCCTTTGTGGTATGGTACCTTGCAGTACAATTTTAGAGAGATCCATACACTTGAACACAAGTTATTGTTTGGAAACTAGAAAAATGCTTATTTTTGGCCCCTTTTTGGCCCCCAATTCCTAAACGTTTCGGGCAATTACCCCCAAACTCAATTCCAGCTTTCCCTTTGTGCTATGGAACCTTGTAGTACAATTTCAGAAATATCCAAACACTTACACATAAGTTATTGTCATGAAACTAGAAAAATGCTTGTTTTTTGCACCTTTTTTGGCCCCTAATTCCTAAAATTTTGAGGCAATTACCCCCAAAATCAATTACAGCCTTCCCTTTGTGATATGGAACCTTGTGGTACAATGTCAGAGAGATCCATACACTTACACACAAGTTATTGTCTGGAAGTTACAAAAATGCTTATTTTTGGCCCCTTTTTGGCCCCTAATTCCTTAACTGTTGGTACCATAACCCCCAAATTCAATCCCCACCTTCCTTTCGTGGTATTGAACCTTATGGTAAAATTTCATGGAGATCCATTCACTTAAACTAAAGTTAGAGTGCGAAAACCAATGTGTCTTCGGACGACGCCGGACGACGCCAGACGACGACGACGACGACGACGCCAACGTCATACCAATATACGACCAAAAAATTTTCAATTTTTGCGGTCGTATAAAAAGGTTTCGTGAAATTTTGTTGTGTGGTTTGAGAGGAGTTGCAATGACAACAAACAGGACTGACGAACTGACGGACTGACAGACGGACGGACAGACAGACAGACAGACGGACGGACGGACGGACGGACAAAGGGACGGATCAAAAACATTATACCATCCGCAACTCGTTGCGTGGGGTATAATTAATAAAAACATTGCAATAATTTCTGAATTTACAGTATATGTGTAGGAATAGCTCGAAGTACATTTAATTTGCATATTAAGTTTGAAGTACATCAATACTTACATTAACAAAATCTCCTCCTTGCACCATGAAATCTTTTATCACTCTAAAGAAAAAAAGGGGGAGAAACATGAAAAAGATTAAAATTAGGTAAATCAATATCAATTTCAAGCTTTTCTAACAAAAGATTATATTTCCGAAAAATATATACTTCAGTAACGAAACCAATATTAAAATGTTAGGACAATTAGATTTATTATATTAAATATAGGCAACAGATGAGGGTTCATAAATGACAAAAATACACCTATCCATCAAATAAAACACAGGATAATTACCTGTAAGCCACCTCATATCTTAATGTTTTTATATTGTTTGGTGAAAGGGCGTTAATGGCAGATCTTTTATTAGTTTCTGTTGAATTCATTTTTAACTTTTATAGATTTAGGATGATTTGGAGCTTCACATATTGTACAGACACCTGTTTGTAGTTGAAGGCATGTTGCACTCTAGATATCTTTTGGTTATTTTTGTTGTTGGGCTGATTGCTCATTGATGTATACCCTACATTGTATATCTCCTATTTCATGTTTATGATATTACAATATTCCCTGGGTTCAAGAAAATCAACTACACAATAAAAAGACTTACCTGTGAAATGTACATCCTTTAAATCCCATAGGAATGCCATCTTTCTTGTATTCTCCAGTGCAAAACTGTCTGGAAAGTAAATAACTAAGTGTAATGTTGAAACAAGGAGAAATAACCATGATAAATCATGAGAAACATCGTCCTTAACTACATGCACTATGGTGTTGGTTTTATAATACCCTATTTTAGCCCGCCCCTTTTTTATAATCTAAAACCTGGATTTAATAGCCATTTCCAAATTCTAATACACCCTTGCTACCTTTACCACAATAAATACATAGGAAATAAAATAAGTTTAGATTTTTTATTTTTTGAAAATTTGCACATCAGCATTCTTTTTATAACGTCAAAATAAGCTAAGTTGGTATTATAAAATCGAATGAAACCAGACCAATTTCATTTGGTTTTTCAATGAAACCTGACTAATTTCAATTGGTTTTTATGACAGAAAACATAATGCATCCTTTAACAAAAAAACTCTTCTAACATTAATATGTTTGTTATAGCAAATACTATATATCTGACTTAAATACTTAGTTTTTCAAACCCTTCACTTAATGTTTTCTGGGCCTAAATGTTGAAAGTTGTCTATGATTTTGTCAATATTCACAATTTTTTTTTTTTTTTTTTTGCCCATTTAGGATGTAAATGTCAATGTAATATTGAAGAAGCTATATGAAAAACAGGGGCGTATCCAGGATTTTAGGTTAGTGGGGGGGCAAACTTAAGTTTTTGCAGAGCAGAGCGAGACAAAAATTTTTTGGAGGTAAAGTTATCAAAACATTCTCTTCAGATACTTAATTAAGCTGAGGACAACCCATGCTTTGCAAATTTTATGGGGGGCGCACGCCTGCCATGCCCCCAACTGAATCCGCCCCTAGAAAATCATTCTATTTCATTTTCTCAGTGTCAATGGACCAAATTGAAACAATTTTTTCTTGAAATAATGGTCCAGGAAGCAAATAAAAAAAATCTTTGTTTCCCCATTACCCTACCCAGATGTTTGCTGTTGGGTAGGTAGGTAGGCGTTTTTTTTGTTTTTTTTTTAAATGTATTTGTCAGACATATAGAAAACATAATGCATGAAAAATTGGCAACTACACGCAGGGTACTCCTTTTTTGTTTTAAAGCTATTCATCAAGCTTTGTGTTCACCTTTACTGTGAATTGTACACTGTTATTGATAAGCAGCTTTGTACATTTTGATAACTACTGTATTGCATACAAAACCTTCTCCTTTCTGACCGTATAATTGTGCAGCTTTTGTGTAACAGTAACATGTTGATATTCTTTATACACAAAGAACTTTAATTCAATAACTAAAACAACTTAACATTTAAACTTTATTGTTAAAGTATAACGTAAGTAAAACATACCATTATTTAATAGTATTACTATTAGGCCGTAAATGATAGACCAGAATGCAATCAACTTTTTTTAAAGATTGATTTATGACTAGCACTGACTGAGAACTGAAAAATATTAAACTAAAATGCTTTTTTTTTTCTTAATTCTCTTAATGTAATAAGTTCTGGAAAGATATTGAACACTTAAATAATTTCATTTTGTATTAAAATGTTAAAAAAATAAATGTGGACAGTGTCCACATGTGGACACAGATGATGCCCCCACTTGCATATCATATAGTTATAAAGGGACATAACTGAAGAACGGTAAAAGTGACGCTACCCAAATTTGAACTTGATCTGAGTTTTGTGGTAATAAGCATTGTGTGTAAGTCTCATAACATTTGGTTGAGGCTAACTTAAGTAGAGAACAAAAGCTAAAAATTCAGCAATTTTTCTATTTTTAAACACGCATAACTCTAGAACGGTTGTGTATAAGTTTTATAACATTTGGTTGAGGCAAACTAAAGTTAGAAAACGGAAACAAAAAATTTGTACTTGATCTTAGTTTTGTGGTAATGAATATTGTGTATAGCTTTCATAATGTTTGGTTGGGGCAAACTTAAGTTACAGAATGGAAACTAAAAATTTTGCAATCTTTCGATTTATAAAGGGGCATAACTCAATAATGGTTAAAGTGACACTACCCTAATTCAACTTAATCTGTGTTTTATCAGTGGAAGTCAAAATTAAACATTGCATTGTATAAAGCATTGATTGTTGTTGATTCAACTATAATCATGGACAAAGGAAGATAACTCCAATTTTAAAAAATACTAGATATTTAGAAGAAAATAAAATTTTGCAATTTTTCCATTTCTAAAGGGCATAACTCTAGAATGGTTTAAGTGACACCACCAAAATTCAGACTTGATCTGTGTTTTGTGGTAATAATTGTGTATAAGTTTCATAACATTTGGTTGAGGCAAACTAAAAAAAGAGAACGGAATCGAAAAATTTAGCAATTTTTCCATTTGTAAAGGGGCATACATGTAACTCTAGAATGGTATGTAACGCAATCGAAATTCAAACTTGATCTGTGTTTTGTGGTAATAAGCATTGTGTATAAGTTTCATAACATTTGGTTGAGGCAAACTAAAGTTAGAGAACGGAAACGATAAATTCAGCAATTTTCCATTTGTAAAGGGGCATAACTCTAGAACGGTAAAAGTTACGCTACCAAATTTTAACTTGATCTGTGTTTTGTGGTAATAAGCAATGTGTATAAGTTTCATAACTTTTGGTTGAGGCAAACTATTGTCAGAGAACGGAAACCAATTTTTGGACGTACGTACGTACGTATGTTCGTACGTACGTACGTATGTTAGTACATACGTATGTACGTATGTTCGTACGTACGTACAGACGGACAAGGGTAAAACTTAATGCCCCCTCCACTACGGTGGTGGCATAAAAATATACATGTATCAAATAGCTAGAACTGGATCAGGACACTCCACTTCAAAGTTTGGTTCAAAGAGTTTAAATAAACAACAGCTCGACACTTTGTTGCTAACTTGCACCAAAATCTGTCAGAACGAAGCAGTGAAAGACTGCCTTTACCGGTGTCAGTGACATCTTCCAATACTTCTTTCCAAATGTATACAATCTGTTGTTTACTAAAGTTTTTATTTTTCCTCTGTGTATATTTTATCCTTACACACAAAGAGAGGGTATTATTGTCTGCCATTAACATTGATCATTCGGAACTATTCAGCATTTTTCAATTATTGTATAGCAGAAATTGCTAGTAGTACCTATTGGACACAGACACATATTAAATAAGAAATCGAACCCAGATCGCTATTTTCGGAAACCAGAGTTCAGACCAAGAACATTTTTTTAAAAAGGATCCAAAAATTTTTTGAGTTGGCAGCATCTTTTCCTGTTGGTTGTGGCATGGGCAGACAAACCTATTTTTTTATTTTGGCCCCAGATATGAACCTTATCAAACCTACTGTTTATAAAATCAAAGACATAAAGCAACACCATCATGACTATTAAGATACTTGAAAGAGTTTGTATATCATTTATATAAAAGGTGTTCAGATACCTTGTACAAAAGTTTTAAACTAGATGTGTTGGAACTTAATGTCAGGTTCTACAAGAAAGAAAGGTTTTACATCATGAAATTATCAATTCCAAAATTGTAAGTCGATATTTATTCCACTGGATGTTCACACACAATTTATGGCCTCTATTTAAAATATTTTACAGGATGTGAGTGAAGCTGAAGAGCATTTGCAGGGAAAAAAATATTGAAATATGACATCCGATCGATTGTACATGTGATGAAAGTTATAAAAACACACCTGAAATTTTCTGCAGATTTTGGTACGACATCTGCAAATAGTTCAATCTTCAATCTTCCTTGTTCCTAAAACAAAAAAAGTAAAATAAATATCAAAAAGATATAAATTAAATTTTTTGGAAAAAATAAATATTGATATATAAACCCTTGAATTGATCTTTACATGTACATATATCCATCATAATTTTCATCTAACAATACAATGTATATTGATTTTGAATGGAGAAAATGCAGAACAAACATTTTAACTGTAAAGAAAAATACCTATTATATTTCAAATGCTTTATCATGTCCATTTACCTTTCACACAGTCAGGGTTAATACTTATACAAGTGTTTTTTATTTACTGGTACATTTTAATTAATTTGAAGGTAGAGTTATCCCCTAGACATTCAGATTTAATTTCTTGTAGAAGTGCAAATGTCTTACCGTCTTTTGGTGTGTATAAAACACATTCATGTATAGTATGCATCCCTTTTTTGGCCCTTGAAACTTGAGAAAAAAGTTACTTCTTAAGCTTATCACGCAGGGACTTTCTGGAAAAATCCCAACTCGGAACTTGGCAAAATCTTTATTTTTCTGTTGTTTTTTTGTAGATTGTTGTTTATCTTTATTTTTTGGTACCGAACCATTCATGCCATTCAGGGATGTTCAACTGATGGGGTGTCATAATATCTGGGCTGAAAACCTTCAGGCAGTGGGGTTTGTGTAGATGTAATGAGAAGATAGAAAGGGATGATCATTTCAACTGAATCGGGGTAAAAGGAGGGAGGTTGGTTGGAAGGATTGGTTAATTTGAGCTAAAATATATCTGAATGTTGTAAAAAATAATGAAAATAAAAGGATTTACAAATGTATATAATATAAAACTTTGCTCCGGGTGAAATGTCGTTAAAATAGAATACATATTAACAACAGCCAACAACAAAAACAACAGAAAATTTTGATTTGAGCAACATGAACCCCATTAAAACCAGAGGTTGAATTATATATTTATGAAGGATCAGCAGTTCCTAATCCACTGTGCATGTACCAACATGCATCTGCAATTTATTCTTATGATTGTGCTTGTTAATGCAAGTGGAAGAAAAAGTGTACCGGGTAGTTATAATATTTAGATAAAAGAGTTTTGTTCTTTAATTTGTCTATGTCTGTTTGTTTTAAGGTTCAGATGAATTAGAAATGTGTGACCTAAAATACAGTTTGTCCACAAGCAACTACCTTCTTTGAAAATGTTTGAGAAAGTAAGTCACATTTCATTTACGTTGAGATCTTTTTTGAAGAAAATCTACCAATTGTCAGATGTTTCATTTCGTTTACTTATGTCATTTCATTTTTCATTTTGTTTCGTCATTTTATTTTTCATTATGTTTCATCATGTTCATTTTGTCAATTTTTACTTTTGTATTACATGTATTATCTATTTTTCATTCCTATTTGTTTCACTCATAGAATTACAAATTCTTATCTCATTCTAGCACGACCCAACAATCAAACCACATCTTCTTATTTTTAATTTTATATCAAATAATCAGTTAACAGCTAAAAACAAAAAAATAATCAAAACTTACAAAAGGGATCAATTAAACAAAGAAATGACACATGACACGTCTGTGTAAACCATCATATAGAAAGTGCCCTTCCCCTACCCGTGTACATTTCTGTTGTTTTAGAGCAGCCACACTCTAAAATCTGACATCACTCATCAGTTTTAAAACTAGTATCTCCCTCCCCCTTTTTTCTAAAATCCTAACTATGTTGTATTTAACTCATGACATGTATGTCGCATGCAACTCTGTATTGAGTGAAAATATTCAAATAATACAAACTGTGTTTCCAATAGAAATATCAAAGAAAACAACGGGATTGTTAGCGTTATTTGGTTTCTCCGAATACGACATGTTGTCGGCTTTTTATTACCTCCCTTTGGAATTATTTTTGAGTTGGGTAAAGTTAAGTTATGTCAGACGTGCTTCCGTATCGGTTAAATTTCTATACTTAAAAAAATAGTTTTTGATAGATAGTAACATTAAGGGATTGTATAAAGTTGATAAAGAAAAAAAGGAAAAAAAAAAAGAAAAAAAGAAAAAGTTAAGAGAATGTAGTGTTAAGTATGTGGTGTAAAAAAGAAAAATTAAACGAACCAAGGCAAACAAATCATTGAAAAAAGAAAGGCTCTGGCTACAATTACCAGCAAAAAGTAACAAGAAGAAAAAAACAACTTACGATTATTAAGTACTAGTATAGATAAGAATGAGCAAGATGTCCAATATAGAAGAAGTTCTTGTTAAAAAAGATATAGATGAAGAAGGATATAGCGGAATGGAACTGTTTGGTGTCCGGTATAGGCGTGCATATATATGGATCTATAGTTTGCGACAGGTGTCTGAAGTGGTATCACCTTAAATGCGTTTGCTTCAAAATGCTACCAAAGGTTACATACACACTGAATGTGCAGGAAGCGTTACAAAAATAAGCTAAAATAATTATGAATATGTATAAATGTGCTTTCAATTTATCATTGCTATGATTAACAAATAATTTTCTATTCATATGTAAAACAACGCCGTATACGGGCCAAAGACACGAAGAGTATAAAGTATCCTGATGCTACACACAAAACAGACATAATTTGCTACACACAAAACGGCATAATCATGGTTTAGTCCCACGTGGGAATTTTTTTTTACAGCAACGAAAAAAATACTGTTTTTCATGTCCGTTTAATAAAATGATAAAAATATCAATAAAATATTAAAATACCATGTTTTATAATAAATAAACCATGATAAAATAGAAAATGATTTAAAAAAAGGAAAAAATATATCCCACCCATACGAAAAAATACTTCATTTAACATGGAAGGTGGGACTAAACCATGATTATATATAGGATTCATTCTTTAAAAACTGTATATATAAATAAGCATGGTTTAATCCCACCCATACGGAAAAATACTTCATTTAACATAGAAGATGGGACTAAACCATGATAATATATAGGATTTATTCTTTAAAAACTGTACATATATAATCAAGGTTTAGTCCCAACTTCTCTGAAAATTGAATTATTTTCACATAGGGGTGGGACTAAACCATGATTATATTAATGCACATTTATTTTCTCTTTACGTTATATATGTGTTTAATAAACCATGATCTATAGCATCTTACTATATAGTCCTACCAAATGTTATATGTAGGAATAAACCATGACTAATAGTATCCTACTATAGTCCCACAGAATGTTATATGTGGAAATAAACCATGGTCTATCGTTTCTTACTATAGTCCCACCTAATGTTATATATATGTGGGAATAAACCATGATCTATAGTATCCTACTATAGTCCCACCGAATGTTATGTGTGTGGGAATAAACCATGATCTATAATATCCTACTATAGTCCCACCGAATGTTATGTGCGTGGGAATAAACCATGATCTATAGTATCTTACTATAGTCCCACCGAATGTTATATATGTGGGAATATTTTTTTATTAAACCATGATTTATAGTATCCTACTATAGTCCCACCGAATGTTATATATGTGGAAATAAACCATGATCTATAATATCCTACTAAACTATGATCTATAGCATCCTACTATAGTCCCACTGAATGTTATGTATACCGGATGCGAGGACGAAATAAAGCGCATGACTAGAATACAATTTTCCTTTACTCGGATCAATTCTTTTTTTCTCTCTCTGTAGTCTTAACTGTGTTATATATGTGGGAATAAACCATGATCTATAGTATCTTACTATCGTCCCACCGAATGTTATGTATGTGGAAATAAACCATGATCTATAATATCCTACTAAACCATGATTTATAGTATCAAACTATAGTCCCACTGACTGTTATGTATGTGGGAATAAACCATGATCTATAGTATCTTACTATAGTCCCATCGAATGTTAAGTATGTGGGAATAAACCATGATCTATAGTATCATACTATAGTCCCACCGAATGTTATGTATGTGGGAATAAACCATGATTTATAGTATCCTACTATAGTCCCACAGAATGTTATGTATGTGGGAATAAACCATGATTTATAGTTTCCTACTATAGTCCCACTGACTGTTATGTATGTGGGAATAAACCATGATTTATAGTATCCTACTATAGTCCCACCGAATGTTATGTATGTGGGAATAAACCATGATTTATAGTATCCTACTATAGTCCCACTGACTGTTATGTATGTGGGAATAAACCATGATTTATAGTATCCTACTATAGTCCCACTGACTGTTATGTTTACCGGATGCGAGGACGGAATAAAGCGCATGACAAGTATATAATTTTCCTTTACTCGGATCATTTTGTTTCTCTCTATGTAGTCTTAACTATGTTATGCATAATAGTAAATCTGCACCCTTTTTCAATAAAACCAAAATGCTAGTGAGAGCACAATTTTATATGCATGTGTTTTTATCCATCTTTTCTTTTGATTCTTTGTTCACATTAAATAAGATAAGCATAAAGTGCATATGCTTTATTCCGTCCTCGCATTTGTCCCACTTTATAAACAATACATGAGAAAAAACTATGATCAATTTATCCTGCTATCGTCCCATTTTATGTAATATATGTCCCACCGAATGATATATATGTGGGAATAAACCATGATCTATAGTATCCTACTATAGTCCATCGAATGTTAAGTATGTGGTAATAAACCATGATCTATAGTATCCTACTATACATTGTAGTCCCACCGAATGTTAAGTATGATGTTGGAATAAACAATTCAGAATGTAAAATTTTATATCAAGTTCCCCAAAAATTCTATATAGGTAACATCTGACCTGACATTGACCTATATTGAGCTTGAAAGTCAAGGTCATGTAACTAATAATGTAATATTTTATATTAAATACCCCTAAAATTTCTATATAGGTCACACTTCTGACCTGACATTGACCTTGTTTAAGGTAAAAGGTCAAGGTCATCCAGTTCAGAGTGTCACATTCATGATTTTATTCACAAAAACTGAAGCATGACCTATATAGAGGTTAAAGGTCAAGGTCATACAATAATAAAATGCAATTTTTATAATTTTTCCCCTAAAAAAATCCTAAAAAAATGTGTGTATATATATATAATCATGGTTTAGTCCCACCTTCTATGTTAAATGACGTATTTTTTCGTATGGGTGGGATTAAACCATGATTATATATATACAGTTTTTAAAGAATGAATCCTATATATAATCATGGTTTAGTCCCACCTGGGACTAAACCATGATTATGCCCACAAAACAGACATAATTTGAAAATGTTAAGTGATATTTTGCGGGTAACAAAATATGCAGGTAAAAAAAAAACCAATATTATTGTTACCTGCAATTTCCGTATGAAATCCGGTCCCTGTCCGGAAATACATTTCGGCAATCAGTCTTGGAAGTAACAATAATTATTTCTTATCGTTAATTTTTGCAGGTAATCGTAGCAAGAGCCAAAAAAACAAAAACAAAAACAAAAACAAACAAACAAAAAAATCCTGCACCAAAGTGCCGGTGAACTCTGATCCCAGGGGAAATACACAATTATTGAAACTGAACTGAAAAAAATTATAAAATTATAGATAATAGAATTCTTGAATAAAGTTAGATCTCTAGAAGATCGTTTATTAAATATTTCAAGAAAAAAAGTAGGCATCACCAGAGACTCTGTGTATCAACAAAGAGCTCTGTATCACCAGAGACTCTGTATCACCAAGGATTAATAATGAATATACTTCCTTGATACAGTACTGTAATATTTTAAAAAGTGTATATTCACAGAACAATTTCAAGATGTAAATATAAAGAATCATGAGAACCCCCCCCCCCCCCTCCTCTACACACACACACACATCCTTTCCGGGCCCTTTAATGTCAATCTTTTATATATTCATTCAAGATTAATTAAACCAAAGGTCTCTCTCTATTGCTAATAATATCTTACCATGATAACACATGACAAATGAATATTTTTGTAAATATATTTTAAGGTTTCTACATTTCTGTTCAAGTTTGCTAATTGTAGTAAACATTTATACCTATCATTTGAGATCATATATAAATCTACTTTTACATCTACTTTGTAGTGACCGCTTTCAACGCGCTGAAGTTATGTTACTTGAACTACACATGACTACAGTTAAAATGTTCATTAGTGGCAAGGTTCCGGTGCAAAAAATAGTTGGCATGCATTTTGTAGCCGGACACACGGACACAATGATAACTTATAAATATTGAATATAATAATAATATCTAAAGCTGTTTACTGAAACAATAAAACTTTAACATTAGACTTGAAATAAATTTGTTTGCAAGGGATTCGCTATAAAGAAGCCATTTCAGATATCACTGGAGAAATATTACAATCTCTTAGTTTAACAAATACAGAAACACCAAATTCACTTTTGAATCCGTTTGGTATGACGGTATAAACAAAAATGACATTTTTTTGTCATATTTTGCCAAAACATCTATCCCCTTATAAGGCTTAATTTAATCTTGTTTTAATCCATCAACAAGTATTCTGTTGTTTTGTTGTTGTAAAAACGGTCGTAACAGTAAGATGAAATAAAATTATTTTCTTCATTTCGAAAAAAAAATAACATTTGGAGAAAAACATGTTTATAGCTCAAAAGATTTTGTCCGGAAACAATCAGTTTGAATGCATACACACAAGTTCTTTTATGTACATGTGTAAACATTTCTTTGTGCCATTTTAACATCAAACTACCTAAATATAAAGACCTTTCTAAATGTATATGACTTTAAATGATATTTGGTTATCCGCTCTTAATTTACTTTGTAACAGCTAACATACAAGAAAAAAATTGCCTCAACAATGGGTTTAAAGTATAATGATATAAATAAGAAAATGTGCTATGATTGCCAATGAGACAACTCTTCACCGGAGA